TTGGTTAAATTCTACTGAACACAAAAGACTTGGGAATACAGAATTCCACAAACTGGTAGGAATTACAGGGTCTACTTAGGGAACTGAATTAATGAGAGATATATATTTTAGTAAGTTCCAGGTGACTCAGAAATTGCCTCTGTTACAGAAAATTGAGTGAGACCCGGGTGGTGTAATCACCAACCTAAATCACTAAACCACATGGCTGGATTCAGAATCTGTATTCTTCAAAGTTCAAATTTCATACAGATTTCATTTTAGAAAACTTGAATTAGCACCTGAAATAAAGTTACATATGGATATATACAGGTAATAGTGAGTTTTGATTAATACTTTTCGTGAACAACTAAAGCGCTTTTAAAATTTCATAAAGTATATATACACTTTTTAAAAGTTTTACTTTTAAACTTTTGAATCCCAAGAGAATTTGTAGTGGCAAAACATAAAAGCAGGGAGCCAGAAGACTTGTAGTTTTTTCAGCTTTCAACTTTTTAAAGTTATAGAGACTTGAACGTTGACATAATGGGCAAAAACATCAAGATAAATTTATTAGATTCAGGGATAACCACTCTCTTTTCATAATATCTGAGGTTAAATTTTGATTTAACAAAAGGATTCATTCTTTAGTGAAGCTAATAACTACACCATTTATGCTAATAAATAAGACTAATACACTAGACTGACATCATGGCTTAATCTTTTGTCAATAGCAAGAGTTCTGACATGATAAACAATATCTGCACAAACATTTCAGAAAACTGGCGGTCTTTAATAAACTCAGATATTCATGCTCCACAACTCAGTTACTAATGCACTAGAGTGCCCATATTACCATTGGTGCTGGTCAGCAATGCTGAACATAAAAAGCAAACTAAAGACGACTAAAAACACAGGATACCATTTACATAAAAAATTTAAAACCTGCAATAGCACATATTGCTAAGGGATACATATACTTAAAGAAATATAGCTCAATGCACAGGAATGTCATAGATCAATATGGGATAGTGGAGGAGGGAAGAGGGCAAACATGGGAGAAAACGCAGTGGCTTCACAGGGGTTTTCATCTTATTAGTCTTTACGCCTTGCTGTAGGTCTTGGATACTTCATAATTAATTAGAAAACATCTTTCTGCCAGATGACAAAATTCTGTTTATACTGCCAGATTTCATGTCATCTTGATGAATATATGACACTAACACATAACAAGAATATTTTTGTGCTACATCCCATCTTCCAGCAGAGTTACTGCTTCAGTTTTTGAAAACATTCTCTCACTGAACAAATACTTACTGAACACTGTATTCATTTTCTCATTCTAACTACTGAACCCCACTACATGCCAGACAGATAAAATAAAAGAAGCAAAATTACTGGTCTCTGCCCTCATGTAGTTTAAAACCTAGTGGAAGCAGCAATTAATCAAATAAGTACATGATTAACAACACTTTACACCTCATCACTCCTTCCGTCTTAAAAATACTTCCTTCACTTGGCTCATCAAATTCCGTACTAATAACCTGACGTTCCTCCTAAATCACTTGCTGTTGCTTTTTCATCTCTTTTGCTAGTTCCACCTAAACACTAACTAGGACCCTTCTCCTGTCTATATTCACCCACACTTGTGAAATACCTCTACAGTGACCTCTCTCAAACTACATTTGAAGCCTGGACAAATAATATAGTTACGAATTACCTAATTCGGCATTCTAAGGAACATGCAAACCCAAACATGTCCAAGAGCCAAACTCCTGCTCTTTGCTCCACATCTATTGCTCTGGTCTTTCTCCACAAGGCAGCATTGCACATAATATTCTAAACAAATGGCAGCCCCAGGAGTTGTGAACACGATAATAATAATTTTCCATCTCAGAGAGTATCAACTACGTGCTTCTGGTGTCAGGCCAAATCTCTGGCATCATCCTAGACTCCTGTCGCACACAGTGTCTAACAACTACTCACCATCTCTTCCACTCCCATCCTGACCCAAGCCATGCTGTATCTCACACTTAGTTCAGTCCTTGGTACCACCCCCAGCCCCCAGTTAGCAGTCAGAAGTGACTTAAAGAGCTACTTAAAATCTGTCAGAAACTGCCACTCCTCTCCTTGAAACCCTCCAAGAACCTACCATCTTTTTCAGACTAATGATCTGCAAGGCTCTAGATGACATCTAGCCCTCACTCTACCTCCCTCCCTCACTATAGCTCACTGGCCTTTGCCCTAGCTGTTCTCTGCCTGGAACACTCTTCCCCCAAATACCCATGATTTGCTCTCTCACTTCATTCAGGTCTTCACTCAGATGGCCCCTTCCCAGGGAAGGCTTCCTGAAGCCAACCCATCTGCAATCGAAACTCCTGCTGCCCTCACTCTCTGTTCTCTTCTGGCTGCTTTATGGTTTTCATGACACACTACCTAGCTCATCTCACTCAAATATAAGATCCACCAGGGCAGGAATTTCAGTCTGTTCACTGCTGTACCAGTAACTAAACCAGTGTCTGGCATTTAATAAACACTCCACAAATACTTGCTGAATCACAAAACATCAATGTAAACTTGCAACTGACAAGTCCAGTGAAGAAGCAGAGAATGCTAGGAGAACCTGCAGGAAGACAAGAAAAGCTTGCCTGAGAAAGTCAAACTTGATCTGAGAACTGAAGGATGAATAGGAGTTAATTACAATGTGCACAGGCTCAGCGGTGACAGGGACTACAAGTCCAGTGTAGCTAGACGAGAAACTATGAGATCTGTAGATCACATTAGGATAGTTTGTCTTTATCCGCTGAGCAACAGAAAGCCACTAAAGTGTGTTAAGAAGAGGGATCATATGAGCAGATTTAGATGTTTGAAAACATTACCATAGGTGTTGGACAGAGAGAAGTTTATAAGGGTTGGTGGATACAGGTAGATCAGTAAGGGCACGCAGTTGAGATAAAATGGTATTTTGGATTGGTGTGTTGGGAGTAGAGAGAGAAGGGATAGATAAGATACTTAGGATATTTAGAAAAATCAATGAGATTGGTATTAAGTTAGATAAGGGAGTGGGGCCATAGGAATTTTAAGGTTTGCTTCCAAATTTCACAAAGTAGTGTTAGATGTCCCAGGAAAATAAAAAATTCCCACACTGATATGAATTCTATGTCATTACCTAGAACTTCAATGTCCAGAGCTCCTAGTCACACATGGCTATTGAGCACTTATAATGTGGCTACTTCAAATAAAGATGTGTCATAACTGTACGATACACACTGAATTTCAAAGTCTTAGTAGATAAAAAAAGAATATAGACTACTTCAATAATTTTATACTGATTAAAAGTTGAAGTGGTAATATTTTAGATGCTGTAGGTTAAATAAGATTTTAAAATTAATTTCATCTGCTTCATTTTTACTTCATAATGTGGCTACTAGGAAATGCAAAGTTACATTAAGTGGCTCACAGTGTATTTCCATTGGACAGCACTAATCTCATAGGAAATAGCAATATGGTCATTGTCATTTATTCAAAAGGAAAAAAATATATCAAAGGATAAGATGGCTGAATTTCAGGGCAAAGAAAGTATAATTTTTGTAAAGAATTTAGTTTGTTTTGTTCAGGGATGTGAGGAAATTAAAATTTCAGTTTTTGTCATTTTTTTAAAGATTTTATTTATTTGAGAGAGAGAGAGAGAGCGCACGCATATGTGTGTGACAAGCAGGGGGGAGGGGCAGAGGGAGAGGGAGCCTGAGGCCATTTTCTTTTTCTGCTTTATGTGTAGAATACATTATTTCTCCTACCCCTAATCTAATGGTTCTACCAAGAGAATCCTCATGGTATGGAGTAAATGTTAGGAAAAGACAGAATTGTGGAAATGAAGGGACTCAAGAGATCATTTAGGCCCACCCCTTCATTTTGTAGGTGACAAACTTGAGATATTAAGACATTAAGTAACTTAGGAAAAAAAAAAGACATTAAGTGAATTACTTGAAAGTCACAAGACTAATACTGTCTTTATCACCTAAGACACAGATGTTTTCTCTAACTCCTTACAATAATTAGTGTTCAGGGCCACTGCATACTTGTATATACAATAAATACACTATTATTTTGTTCCCAAAAGAACTAAAAAAATTATCTATCTTATGGCACTGAATATTGGTATTATCAATAGCAATATTGCTTTTTAAAGATTTTATTTTAGAGAGTGCGTGCACTCATGTGTGCAACTGGGCAGAGGGGCAGAGGAAGAGGGAGAGGGAGGGAGAGAATCTGAAGCAGACTCTGCGCTGAAAGCGGAGCCCAAGGTGGGGCTCGATCTCATGATCCTGAGATCATGACCTGAGCTGAAACCAAGAGTTGGATGCTTAACCAACTGGGCCATCCAGGCGCCCCCATCACTTACTTAGTTTTGGTGTACAAAATCATACTTATATTCTTACTTGATAAGAGTGGAAAAAGTATTAGTTTTTAGAGTCTGAAACCCAATTCCCATACTTAGCTGTGCAGCAAAGACAACTGTCATTCTGTTTTCTCATCAGTAAAATAGGTACTACCACACTTGGGTTCACACACACACAGCATAATAAATGGCTTCCAGTAGGTAGATGCATAATAAGTAAAAAATGCCTTCCATGATCCTCCCTCTTCTCTCCAAAATGTTAACACACTGTCATATTATAAAGTTATAAAGATACAAGGGAACAAACTGCTGGAGTTGTGAAACCCAGTTTCTTATTCCCAGTGTCCTTTGAAAAAGCTTCAAAGCCTTGAGTAAATCATTCAACCTAAGTCTGTTCACCCCTCAGAAGAGTGATGAAGCCTGATCAACCAAAATGACTGAAACAGTCCTACCTATGACTCAGTGATTTTTATCTATGACTGCCACATGAGTTTCTGAGGACAGTCACATCAAAAGCTTTAAACATTTAAACATTAATATGAATTTGACATTTCTAAAACTTAATTTGGGATACTGTTAATGACCACTCTGTATATTTAAAAGGAAAGTTCTTAAAACTACTCACATCTGGTTGAATGGCTTTAAATACTGGAACATCCATTAGTGTTATCTGACCCTGAAATAAAAGGTAAAAAATGAGAATTTCTCCCTGGGAATTCTATGACATGACATATACTCTAAATTAAAATTATATTCCATACTAAAATATACTGAATACTCAAATTTTTACTAGAAAAAGTAACAATTTTACAATGGATTACAGAAAATGAAAATTTGCCCTTATACCATTATTAAATATGATTATTTCAAATTATCTCATGCCGATTCATACTTTTTTATGAGATAAATGAGGTAAAGTTAGAAAATAAAACAAAAATTATTTTAAAAATCTGGACACAGTCATACATTAAATCAAAATCAAAACCAAAAATTAGATCTACTGGTTCATGGAGCAGTATTATGGTGATTATGTCCCCAAACAGTAATATAAAATCTGATGTTAATATAAAAGTTTTCTTCCCTATTTAGAGTGACGCTTATACTAGTGGCAACTCATATCTAAGGACTGCACATGGATTGGCCCCACAGCTCAGGGTGGAGGGCACTGGTCTTGTAGGGACTGCACATAGCTGTGGACCTACCCCAGTCTCACTCAAGGCTACAGCTGTAAAACAAGACCCAATAATATACCAAAGAATAATATGTTATAACTGAACCGTTTATTCCGGGAAGGCAAGAGTGGTTCAACAACAGGAAATCAAATATGCTGTTAACACGTTAAAGGAGAAAGAGAACTTCAAATGAACATTTATGTCAGTTAAGAAAGAAAAGTTTTTCTAGGTATCTTTCATGATATAGCAATAATGCCCTCAAATTTCTTTTTTCTGTTTTTTAATTTACAAAAATGTAAAAATATTTCTTACATAGGTTAATAAAGCACAGTTGGTTGGCTTGGAGAGATGATATAGGTAGGAGGCAAAAGCAATCACCATAAAGGTAAGTACTCATACTTTTTTCCCCCTAACGTGGTGGTGTTTGTTTTGAGTAGAGTTGACACACGATGTTACATTCCTTTCACGTGGTAAGGACTTACTTTTTATTCACCAAATTGAGGGTGTAAGGAAGGAAGCTGCTCTATACCGCTCCCCAGCTCTTCCTCCCCTCCCCATTTCACCCCTCTGCTTGCTTCACTGCTGTGCTGCTACTCTCTCCATCAATTCCCGCATCCAGTTGTTTTTAACCACCTCCTTCTGCTGCGCCTTGGCTCAACAGCATCAATGTGTAAGTTATGTGCAGAAACTGCAGAAAGGGGAGGTGGGAAGCTTACCGCATATTCTTCTGGTGTAACCTTAAGAACATCAAAGACCACAGCATCAAAGCTTTTCTTCAGTTCGGAACCTTTGTCACTTAATGATTCGGAACTGCTACTTTTCTGTTAAATAGAAAATGCAGCCATTTTAATACTGTCTCACAGTGGATGCCCTAGAAACTCAACTGGCATTAAACACTGAGGAAAGTGAAAACAGTGGGTCAACAAACACTGCAGAAAAACGGGGGACCAGATGCTGCTTAGCTGAAGAAGCACTAGATAAAGGGTCAGGCAAGTGAAAACCTAACCTAGCTTCTAGGTTCTTGAGTCATTTTCTTGTCTGTCAGTTTCCTCATCCTGACATTCCTCCATTTCTTATAGAAATTAAAGATTTTAACAAGTTTGATGATTCTCAAATGAGGTAAAGGGAAGTTAGGGAGAAGAATACTGTTATTTATAATTTATAAACTAATGTTTTTAAAGAAAAAGACAAATGGTTTTCATAACTTAAACCATAAGAAAATATTCAGAACTTCGGGCGCCTGGGTGGCTCAGTTGGTTAAGCGACTGCCTTCGGCTCAGGTCATGATCCCGGAGTCCCGGGATCGAGTCCCGCATCGGGCTCCCTGCTCTGCAGGGAGTCTGCTTCTCCCTCTGACCCTCCCCCCTCCCATGTGCTCTCTCTCTCATTCTCTCTGTCTCAAATAAATAAATAAAATCTTTAAAAAAAAAAAAAAAAAAAAGAAAAGAAAATATTCAGAACTTCATTAAATAATCCAATATTTGTTAAGTGATGTCCATCTGTGATAGTACAATTGTTACTATTCTTCCTATTATATTACAAACTGCAGGGTTTTTTGCTTTAAGGTCACTATTTCAAGTTCGAATTTGCTGTTACTGCATGTAGAACAAAGGTGGCTTTTGGCTCTGAAAATCTTATTTCTGTTCTATTTCTGTATCTGCACCATAAGATAAAAATGTATTCTGCCTCAGTTGGCTAAAATCAGAGCATCATCACTGTAAGAACACTTAGATCATGCTCTATTAAATGGAGGCAGGAGATTAAGGTTAATGGCACAAAAAATTAACCCAAGTTTCAGTTACCAATGTATAACGTATACGTCAGCCTACCAGCTGTGATATATCAGTTTTGAGCACTTGTCATTATGCCTCATTTTTATGTTTTCTTTCACTTTCGCAGCTAAATATCAAAATCATTTCAAAGGAAAGGATCTGTCATCAATTTGGGAAATTTCATTATTATATTTCAAGTATTTCTTCTGCCCCTTTCTCTTCTCCTTCTGGTAGTTCCATTACATGTATGCTACACTTTCTATCATTGTCCCAGTCCTTGGATATGCTATTCCATTTTTTTTTTTTCTTCCTATTTTCTCTCTGCATTTCAGTTTGGGATGTTTCTATTGACATATCTTCAAGCTCATGAATTCTTTTGTCGGCTGACTATTGCCCACCCATCTACTGGTGAGCCGATCAAAGTCATTCATTTTTGTCACAATGTTTTTGATTTCTAGTATTTTCTTTTGATTCTTGGCATTTCAATATTCCTGCTTACATCACCCATCTGTTCTTACAAGTTGTCCATTCTTTCCATTACAGCCCTTAGCATTATTAATCACGAGTCTGTTTATTCCAAAATCTTTGCCATATCTGACTCTGGCTTTGTCTATTACCTGCTTTGTCTCTCCAGACTATGTATTTTTCTTACCTTTTAGCAGGACTTGTAATTTGCTGAAAACCAGACATAATGTATTGGGTAATAGGAACTGAGGTAAATAGGCCTTTAGTGTAAGGATATGCTTCTAAATAAATAAGAGTCATGCTGTGTTTACTGTTTGTTGTACTTGAGGTGTCTTGAGTCTTCAATTTCCTCTAGTGTCCTTCTTTGGGTTTCTTTAGAAACTCCTTCTTAGAATCTGTGCCTTGCTGTTCTTTCAGCTATACCCCTTCATTATTATACAGAGGCCCTGTTGATGTGGTGGTAAAGTATGCACAGAGAAAGTCCTACAGTCAGGTCTTTTAGTGGCCTGTGCCCTTGGGCTGTAACCTCAAATACTTCTCAGTACCCCACTGCCAATACCTTAGAAAGTGAGAAAGAAAGGCTGAAGGAAGCTGGAGTTGGGTATTTCTTGTCCACCAAGTAGGTTAGGCTCTGGTAAAGTAGTTTCCCTTGAGGTCAGGGGGAGAACAGATTGCACTGGGCACATTTCAAAATGGTTATTTTCCCCTTCCCCTGCTAGAAGCAGGAAGAGATTTTTCTCTGATCTTCACTGTGAGAACCTGGTAGAGCTTCTAGAGGTAAAACACAAAAGTGGGGGTTGGGGGAACCTAAGATTGGGCCCCCAGGAGTCCACACATAGCCTCCAGCAATTTCTCAACTATAGCTTAAGTTTTGCTACCCATTTCTGGCTTCAGTGATTTCTGCTCATGGTAAACTAATTCTTTACTTGTCTCTCTCTCCAGTTTTTGGGTCATCACCGTCAGTTTGCTCTGTGACATCAATTTTCTGATAGAGCTAAGAAGAGTTACTGATTAACATCATGAATAAATTTCTAAATTAGTCTTGGGATATAAAATAATATCGTTGACATAAGCTAGTCATAATTACAGAGAATAACACATGAAATAAAATACTATGTATAAAATCTGATGACGGGACTTTGGTTTCTGCTCAGATATATAAAGAGGTTGGAATTCATCACTCCTGCCTTCATAACATGAAAAAAACTGAAAAACTGAAAAACATTCAAACAGACATCAGTTACTGACCAAATAACTAAATACATTCTATCAAGTAAAGATATTAATTTTAAATATAACTTTCTCCAAGTTTTTAACTCATTCAAGGCAAATTAGCAAATCATAATGGCAATTTTATTACTTATCAAAACAAGTAATCACTTTCCTTTTTTCATTCTTACAAGTCATTAGGAGAGGCTTAAGGAATTATGAGCAAGATGCTTCTATCTGCTTCCCCAATACCAATAAATAAGTTGGTACTGATAAGCTACACAGTACTTAAGCATAATGTCCACTAAGGGAATAGTTTAGTAATTCTTTATTCGAGACTAAAAACCACTGACACTTCTGAATATCTGAAAAAAAAAATTCACTGCAGCTCTTCTGATCTCAGGAGCTTCTAGTACAGGTAAAATATTAAGGCACTAAGACAGGGAAGTCAATCACCCAGATCAAGTATTTTGTCCAATTTGTAAGCTTATCAGATTTATGGGACATTTGCATTTTGATACGTTAATAGATCTGTACTTTAAGAGAAGGTGAAAAATAATGTATTTTTAATTTCATTTTCTTGCCACAGTGTAGAACAATTTAAAAGACAGCCTTTTTCCACTTACCAAATACTAAATTACACTATTCTGAGGCCTGATGTTAGTTCATTCACTTTCATAGGAGAGTCAACAGATTTTTTTACACAAGTAAAATGATCTATTTTATTTAACAAATAATTATATACTGTTTCCTGTAATACTAGACCAAATATCTCAGGATATATAGTTATAAATATCATACACACACACACACACACACACACACATATATATACATACACACACACACACACATACATTTAACATATCCAAAAAATATGGTTATAAAAATACCAAGTAAACATAAACATAATATAAACATATATATAAACATGTAATATAATCCTTGTCTCGAGGAGAAAGATAAGCGATGTATAAATTTATGGAAAAAAATATTTTAAAAGTGGGTTTTTTTTTAAATGATAGTTTCAAAATACAAAAGCTATCTGTTTAGGGGATGAGGAAAAGACTCTGCTGAAAGTATAGCATTTGAAATAGGTTTGAAAGACAGCCAAAATGTCTTTTTTTGTGCAGAGAGGGAGGGGCACACTGGAGTGGGAAGAGAAATGCCATGTGGAAAAACTGATACAGACAAAACTGTAACAAAAGTAGGAGAAAACAATGGTTTATACAAACATCAGCAAGATACAGTACTCTTTCATTAGAATGAAATTTCAAGTCAATAATTAGTAGGAGTTAAATCTATTAAAAAGAAAATAGAAAATGTAAAGTCACTTTGACGAGAAAGTCTTGAATAAAAGGTTTAGGGCCATGGTATTTCATTAGTAGGCAATGGAGAACCACGGACAATTTGGGGATACAATAAAGCTTAAGAGCTGTATTTTAAGAATATTAAAATTGAATTACAGTCAAACGGACCAAAAACAGCAGAGAATAGAAGTACAAGATCAAACTAAAGGCCTGCTGCAATAATGTAAACAAGAAATAATGACCAAACTCTGATGGTGCTGGCAGAAATAAGGAGAAAAGGACCGGATCCGAGCGATGAGGTTTGCTGGACGGGCTCTCAGACGGCTACCGACCGACGGTCTCCCTCTCCTGGCACTCACAACCTGTGTGATTCCCTCCACTTGGGTGTGGGCAGGATTGTGACCTGTTTCTAACCAACAGAACATGGCAAAGAGAATGGGCTGTCGCTTCCATGACATTACAGAAGACTGTAACTTCTGTTCTGCTAGTGCACTCTCCCTGCTGAGATTAGAAAAATGACTGTGGTGCACAAAGGGGAAATCTAGAGATTAAGCTCAGATGGCGAGGGAAACAGTGCTGAGATAGACAGCGATGGGAAATGGTGATGCTACTAATAGAAGTCAGAGAAAGGGGTTGCGCTATTTTCTTTACAGGTTGCACAGCAGAATAATAATGAGTAACTTGATTTTGTTCATATTATACATAAAATGTCTGGTCCATCAGAAATGCTTAATAAAAATGTACTGAGGGAAGCTAGAGATAGAAATACAGAAATCATCAGCATAAGAAGAATCATCAAAACCACAGACTTAGACTATTTTCATTGATAGCAAGGCCTAAGTAACTGGCTGGAGTTGAAGTTATTAACGAACTTTGAGGCCAAGGAGGTAAAAGGTCATAGACATTACTCTCATCCTCTATAGTAAGAGAAAAATAAAGAAGAAATATAGGAGCTAGATGTAAAGTTATTAAGGAAAGCAGGCAAGTACCCTGGATTTAAAGACAAAGCAAAAAAGAAAAAACATGAAGCACAAATAAGAGCACAGCACACAACTTGGAGAGATGGGCACCTAGCTTGGTCTTCACCTCCATCTTTACACTCTAAGCCACATACATCCCTTCCAACATTTCAGCCTAATGATTTTTGACTCTTTCAACAGGCCTGGAATCAAGGGATCTAGATGGTGTCAAAATTATGTGATTCTAAATAAAAGATTCTTTTATTCTCACTTCTTCTACTACTGTCCTCAAGGTTCATGCAATATAAAAATACCCTAGAAAGACATTCTATGTACCCTTTAAAACTAAACTCAAGAAAAACTCTTAAGTAATCATTATTTGTCAAGTATCTTAAGTGGATAAGGATTGTTTCTAAGATGTAGAATAAACGTGTGAATGGCAAAATTAAAAGCTTTTTTTAAACTAAAAGATTTGTAGCTCTTCTTCTCAAGTTCTGATTTAAATCTGTGACCAACCATAATGTTTGAAAAATTAGAATGTCAGATAAGAGACTCTACAGCTAACCTTACCTCGGAAGCAGGAGCAGCAATATTAACACTGCTTGCCTGCCCGTTCATTAGGTCCATGCTTCCCACAACATCAGTCCTGGACGCTATGTTAACAGCAACAGAAGACTGACGGCTTCACGTCCAAGGCCACAAATACATTATTAGTCCTGTAAAAAATACACAGAAAATTTTAAATCTATGTCTTATGGAAAGTTTAAAAAAACAATTCCATGCCTATCACCATGCCAAGAAATAAAAAACTACTGAACTGTATTTTTTATTTCAGCTAAGTGACTAAATCCAGCTGGAGGACGATCTTGTACGCTCTTTTCAAATAGTCAGAAACACCAAATGGGCTCAAAACATGTTACTGCTCAAAACATGTTAGTGCTATGTTCATCAGTAAAGCGTTAAGTATAATTTTTCACTTATTGTGAGAAAAATTCAAAAACATTTTTTTAGTTTTAAGTAAATAGTGTAAAACAACATGTGGCAAAGTAATACATGGCATAACTCAAGAAATCTTGCAGAGATCTATAAAGCAACAATACTGAGTAAGTTTACCATTGCTGATAAACTGGTTTACAAAGATACCACAAATAATTGAAAATAAAATATTATGGAATATGTCATACAGAGACCATAGTATGTTCATTTGTACAGGGTTAAAGTTTATTGAATATCTTCAATCATTATGTCACTGATCTTCACAACTGCCAATAAGACTAAATTGAGGAGGACATTTTTTATGCTCACATAACACAAGGAAACAGAGCCTCTGCTGGTAAATGAAGAGCCAAGAATAAAACTGAAGCCATCCGAAATTCTAGTCAAATATTATTTCCACAACATCACATTTCTTTCCACTATACTGTAAGTAAGAATATTTACTTCTGTTTTCCATCCCGCTCCACAAATAACTTGCTGTATGCGCTATGTTGGTAACTTCACCCTTCTAGGATGGAATTTCTTCCTCTCTGTGAAATGACAGCAGCAAAGGGACTCAGGGCCCCTTTCCAACTTTTAATTTCAATAAGCCTTGTGCATTAAGAGAAATGGTAAGTTATACCGGCTTTAAAAACTGAGTCTGAAATAGCAATAGTAATTCTCTTGATGCTAAGTTTCCTCTCTCTGGAGAAGCAATACAGACATTGATTTAGAAGCAGATTCTAGAACAAGACTGCCTAAGTTTGAAACCAGCAAACAGTTAACTTTTCTGGGCTCAGTGTCCTTACCTATTTTAAAGGTAAGAGTAAGTACTTACCTCACAGAATTGTGGTGAGGAGAAATGAATACATACAAAGCCCATAAAACAGTACTGACACATGGTAAGGGTGCAATTACAATGATGCAGATTTTGTCTACTTAATTAATCCACACAAAGCTTAAATTCCATGGAGTCTTTGAATTAAAGATGACAAAAACCTTAGTACACATCTGGCAAAATACATGTTGGTGGGTGTCTCGAAAATCCTAATTGCAAATACAGTGAATGAAAACGCCAAAAATGTTTCCTGAATGTAGCAAAACATGTTGCTGGTTTTCAAATGCTTAAAAATTATTACTAATGATAGCAACCTTTAGTCACATCTTAAATTAATCTTCATTTCTTCAGATATACTCTAAGTACCTGCTAAGAGCAAAACATGGTGATATACTCTTTTTTTAACGAGAAAGATATTAGAAATAATGGGTTTTTAAAACCATTTAGAACCCATTTAGAAAATCAATGCAAAAGTGAACAGAGCACTGAAATACTTTAATTTCCTCTAATCTACAGCATTTCATTTTATAAGCTTCATTATCCTTATGACACTATTAAGGATCAACCTATATTTACACTGCTATATAAAATGAGCTTGATAATCCAAATTCCCTCTGAAGTCAACACTCAGCAATGACATGTTTTCAAATAATTTCATTTCATTCCAGTCTATGCATATTGATTGATTTAGATATGAATCCATAGGTCAAGAGTGCCCCCTAGTGTCAAGAAAATGATTTTAATTAAATTGTTAAAGGAAATGTATTCTTAATCTACTCTTCAAAAACATTAGTTTTTTTTTTTTTTTACTATTATTTACTGAAAATGAGATAATACAGACCAGGAATAAGAATTACACATTTTTAGGGGCGTGTGGGTGGCTCAGTTGGTTAAGCGACCGCCTTCCGCTCAGGTCATGATCCTAGAGTCCCGGGATCAAGTCCCACATTGGGCTCCCTGCTCAGCAGGGAGTCTGCTTCTCCCTCTGACCCTCCCCCCTCTCATGCTCTCTCTCTCTCTCTCAAATAAATAAATAAATAAATAAAATCTTTTTAAAAAGAAGAATTACACATTTTTAAACTATAAGACATTACACATTTTAAACTATAAGAATAAAGTTTTCTCTGCCTAGTTTTAATTAAAATGCCAAATATTCCATAAATATTAAGATTATATTGAAATCCATTACATGTAAAAAAAAAACAAAACACAATTACAGCAAAGCATACCTTAAAGAAAATCATATTCAAAACTATTTATAAATGTACTACATGTCAATAGTATTTAATACTGCTGAAGAACAACAAAACTTCATATGATACCATAAAAACACTAAGTCCTTAGAGACAGAAATGGGTTTATTTTTTTAGTATGTATTTCAGGACCTTCCTGTGCTTTGCACACAGGAAGTTCAAATTAAACAAGACAAATACACGCTTTTCCTAGTGTTATGAATGGCACAATCATTCACAATTACCAGTATCACAACAGCTCTTTTCTTAATTAAATTCATTATTTCCTACTTACTCTCTTCTAAAACTTCTAAAGATAGTTAATCTCTTTTGGTTTTAAATCCAAAACAAGCATATTACTTCTTTCCAAGCAATTATAATCCAAAAACAAGGATATTGCTTCTTTCCAAGCAATATAATCCCCAAACAGGAAATCTGAAACGTGTAGATTTAGTTCCTTGCTTGAGGTCACTGAACTAGATTATTAAACTGCAGGTATATTCAGTCTCCTAAACACCTCACCTTCTCAGTGAGAGTCACACCAGAAACCAGTACTTTTTAACCAAATGAACAAAGGATTAAAGTGTCAACTTCTCAATCTCATTTCACAGTAGCAGTTACATATTCTTTTCTAAAATAAGTTAGCTATCATCATTAGGAATATTATGCTAAAGAAATTCAATAGTTTTATAAAACATACTCTAAAAGAGTTAAGCAACCATAAGGTAAATGGTAGTGAAATGCAATTAATTAGAGCAATTTCTTTGGAAACATTCAGACAATACAGAATTGACATGCTCATACACTTTGGCTTAAAATCTCAGTCCTAGAAATTCACCTTACGAAAACTCTGGAGAAAGAGAAAAAACTATATAGATACAGCTATTCAATCAAGCACTATTTACAATAGTGAGAACCATTTTAATGCCCTTATATACAACCACATTAAGAAATTCAAATGGACAACTATAAGAAAGATGAAAATAGAAGCAACAGGTTCAACAACAGAAACTACACTTTCTTATTAATAATGTTCTTGTAACTTTCATGAGAAAAAATAGGGTAAAATTAAAACATCATAATTGCAGTTCAATATTTAAAACTTATTACAGAGCTTGCTCTCCTTTAATATTTATTTTTAAAGCAGTATTACAGACATATTTTACATGACACTCATGGAAGGCACAAAGATTTAAACAGCCTGGGGACGCCTGGCTGGCTCAGTCGGTTAAGCGGCTGCCTTCAGCTCAGGTCATGATCCTGGAGTCCTGGGCCTCAGCCCTGCATCAGGCTCAGCGGGGAGTCCGCTGCTCCCTCTCCCTCTGCCCCACCCCCACCGCCCTTAATGCTTTCGCACTTGCTCTCTCTCTCTCCAAAAAAAAAAAAAAAAAAAACAGCCTGTGTATCATAGCATTAAGGCAAGCTCACTTTTTTTTTTTGACAGAGATAGTGAGAGAAGGAACACAAGCAGGGGGAGAGGGAGAGGGAGAAGCAGGCTTCCCGCTGAGCAGGGAGCCCGATGTGGGGCTCGATCCCAGGGCCCTGGGATCATGACCTGATAATGACTGAGCCACCCAGGTGCCCCAAGGCAAGCTACTTTCAGCATTTGTGACAGCTAAACTTCCACTGCCTTCTTTATTTTTTTTAATCTAAGAAAATTAGAACTCAGTCCCAATTCCCCAGTACTTTGTTTCAATAATTAAAGCCATCAAAATGCTCTGGGGTAACAAAGAAAAAAGATTTTGTTTTTGACATAACTGATACTGAGCTATTCTAGCAAAAGTTTATTAAAAACATGGTTGCCTCTTAAAACCATTTCTAGTGTAACAGTAAGCAAGATTATCTTTACTATTTACCACCCTTCAAAGTTCAAGTTATTACAAAAGAAATGAAAAAGAAAAAGGTTCTGATGTACACCCAGGGTTATATGAGTCCCCCAGTGCCTCCTGGAGAGAGATCATCAGCCTCCCGCCTCTGTGCTTCCACTGCTCTTTTTATCAAAATTCTAATGCCAACTCTTTGCACTGATTATGAAAGAAAGAAAAAATGAATACATACTGGTATAAGATAAGGAAACTTACCTGTCTTGGCCTGAACATTAAAGCTAAAGGAGAGTGACCACAAATCCACAAAAATGTGTTCACAAGCCAGAGACTCTTGTAACCCAAGGCAGATGGAGGGAACAAAAAGGCAACATGGGATTCCCACAAATAAATCCCAAAATAAAAATTTACCAACTCTATAACAACACACTATAACTAAAGCAGGAAACGCAACAATTATTAGGACTACCTTTTGAGAACTTTAGATGAACACTTATCTGATAAAGGCTATAAAACAGGAAAGATTAAAATAAAAAACTGAAAACATAATGAGCTGTTACAAAGAAAGCAAGATGGGGACGCCTGGGTGGCTCAGCTGGTTAAGCACCTGCCTTTGGCTCAGGTCATGATCCCAGGGTCCTGGGATCAAATCCCCGCATCAGGCTCCTTGCTCAGCAGAGCCTGCTTCTCCCTCTACCTGCCACTCCCCCTGCCTGCGCTCTTTCTCTCTCTCTCTCTCTGGCAAATAAATAAAATCTTAAAAAAAAAAGAAAAGAAAAAAAAGAATGCAAGACAAACAATTGTTAGAAAACCAAAAAAAAAAATTTTTTTTTAAAAAAGAAAAATTT